TCTCACACTCTCTCTCTCTCTCTCTCTCTCTCTCTCTCTCTCACACACTCTCTCTCTCTGAGCTGGCATGAGTTTGGCTTGTTTTTCTGGACTGGCACTAACACAGCATTACATCAGCCGACAGCACGCCTGTTTCCCCTCACAGAGGAATGTTGTGGGAAAAAATCATGTAAACAGTGACTTTAAGAGGTCACAGCTTTTAATATGAATTTATTGCACATGTCCTGGCTTCACATCGGTTTGACGTTATCATGGGTCTTTTTAGCTTTTTATTTGAAATGTACATTTCTCATTATTTATTGTAACAAAAAATACTTTATCATTTTATTTTATACTTTATATTACACTTTCATACTGTTAGTTTAGTTTTTATTATGCTCCAAAAACAATTACAAGACATAACTTAAAATTTGAATAAACATAATTTTTGAATGCCACAGAATTTGGAGCAACTTAAATCGCTCAGTGCTGTAAATCAGTCCGCTCTTTCACTGCAACCGGAACTACTTTCATATCACACCGCAGACTCGCTCGTTCTTTCAAACAAACGAAACTTTCACCAAATTGCATCTCAGTTATCGTTTGTAGTGAAAATGACCTTGGAGGAATTCAGTATTAATATAACTGTCATATTGTAGCAGTTTTTGTCTATGATTGTTTTTTTACAATATGACGGACTATTTCTTTTAGCGGAAGCTTTAATGTACAGGTAAGATTATGGAATAAACTCACATGCCTCCACGTGCAGTGTGATGATGTGTGGAGTGGTCAGCTGTGCGTCAGCCCTGCTCTGTGATTGGCTCGTTAGGGTAATGAAGGTTAGGGTGACTTTATGTTGGCTGAGGATAAATATAGCAGGTTTCATATGGCTGAGCTCTAGCTGTGCACATGTGAAGCACATTGCAGAATCAGTGTGTTTCCTGATGCTCCTTCATCTGTTTCAGGCTCAATGCCACAACAAAGACCAACATTTCCATTGTGAGTATTAATTACAGCGGAGCTTCCGGCACTCAACTTATAAAGTAGCTCATTAAAGACACTTATTTGCCAGAAAAAGTCATTACAGTCTCCAGTTTTAGTTTAGCTTGGAACGCCTACTGTAATTATCTGAAGTTATATCGGTTATGTCTGGCCTCAAGAGGCTGTCATTATCTTGATAAACAGTGATTTGAATGTAAGGTGTCCTGCCCATCAGAGCACAATACTAGCCTTCAAAGCACTCAGCAGCTATATTCCAGCAGAAACACAATCAACCCGTTTAATATAACGCTGCCTGCACTCGCCTCCAAAGCCATAGCTATGATCTTCTTCTCTTGCATATCTTTGGATATTTCTTCTGGTTTTTATTTTAAAGTGGCAGGTGGTGAGAAACCGGTGCTGATCTGAGGAGGTCAGAGATGTACTCTCTGCTGGAGGATGTGTTACTTTTCAAAGTAATGCATTACAATATTGTGTTACTCCATAAAAAGTGACTAATTGTGTTAGTTACTTTTTTTTCTCATGATTCATTAAGTTATCTATCCGTCCATCTGTCTGTCTCAGTCTTGTCTTTTTGTAATATTTGTCTCTCTCTAGGCAAATATGATATGTTTTTCTAACTGTAATGCAGTGGGGAGTAACTAGTTACATGTAGTGGAATTACGTAATTTAATTACAAAATAAATGTAATTGTAATTAAAGTTACTGAGGCGTTCCCCATAGCGACCCCTAGAGGACGCAGTTCGAAGTTCCACGAAAGGGAAGTGTAGTTATATTAGTTAGTAATAAAGATGTTAATGATTACATCTGAATATTGTCAGACACATACAGTACAGATCTAATTGATTTCTTTCATAAATTGCAGTGACTGCTCTAAAATATGAGCCAGCAATGTTTCAGGAGTTTAGGACACATGCTTATTCAATAACCGTGTACTTTCCTATTTGGGTTTATGTATATGCTTTATTTTTAATTTGAAGATGAACTGTTTTTCCTAGGCACTGTTAGATGTCCGTGTTTCCGGTCCAAAAACAGTATCATAGCTATTAAACTGCTTATTGTTATGATGCTTTTAAATCTGTATTAACCTCAGAACGGTCTCAAAGTAAAAGGAGGTGCTAAAGTCTGGGTTTGTGGTGTCTGTGCTTTGAAATGAAATGAATGATAGGCTAATCTGTGATGAAGGATTACAGTAACTCTACTGCTGCCTGCTTTACATCTTTGAAAACATTAGAGAAGTAATCAGTTACATTAATAAAGTAATTGAAATAGTTACACTATATTACATTTTAAATAGGGTAGCCTAACTTGTAATCTGTAACTAAGGCTATTATATGTCTAAAGTAACCTTCCCAACACTGCTGTAATGGCGCACACTAATCCAGGTCTGATCTTTTTTGTAAGTTTAGTAAGGCTGTTTTTCTTGTTTTCTCTCTCTCTCTCTCTCCTGCTCGTGTGTCCGTCCCCCTCTCCCTCCCTCGGGCACATAACGGTATAAGTGCGGTGTTTCCTCATGGCTCCGTTAGTTCCCCAGCCCTCCTCCTCCTCCAGCTCCTCCTCCTCCTCCTCCAGCTCCAGCTCCAGCTCCGCGCTCATGCTCAGAGCTCCACGCCGCGCTCCGCGTCTCCTGAGCGGCCTGTGCTCTCCTGCGCTCCCGCTAGCACAGATGCTCTCATGGAGCTCGGGTCTCGTCTGCGTCTGACTCCACCATGCACTTTAGGATTTCAGTAAGATGTACGTGTGTTGTGAGATACTCATTTTGCTTCTCTCCTGCAACTTCTGCGCCCTCGTCTACACTCAGGGTAAGTGCTCTTTCTTTCACTTCTCCGCTTCTGCTTCTAGTAGTTTTAATGTCAGGAATCGGATAGTTTTATTCGGGAAAACATCGTTGTTACCCATGACACGCGATAAAAGCTCAGCTGCTGTTAATAATGGCCGAAAGCGACATTTTAACAGCATAATGCAAGTTTGGACTTGTTGAATCTGCTCCGTTATTCTCAATCCGGCTTTCAGAATTATTGAATTGTGATTTGTGTTATGATTGGTGATGCATAATACATCATTGATCGAGTCTATCATGATGATCTATGTATATGCTCGGCTGTACCGTTATATTCCCGTAACTTCATTGAGTAGCAGTTTATGGGCGACTGGAGATAATAGCCTCGGATATGATGTCTATTAAGAGTAAGATGTGTTTTCTAGCAGCCTGTGCTCGCGTGCTGTCAGGAGGACTGCTGTTAGAGTAACCCTTCATAACCTCTTCATTTAGCATTCATAAACACGCATTAGGCTACAGAATGACTCACTGTAGAATGCCAGGGATTTACAAAATGCTACAGTAATTATATAATAACAACAAATTACTGTGAAGAATGAGCGTATTGTGTTGCATCGTGGGATAATCGTTTAAATATCGGGTTAGTTCTAGTGATTACATTTGCTTTCATTTAATTTAGCACTTTTAAGAAAACAAGTTTTGCATTGTGATTGACTCCTAACTCTGATCATAACTTAGAAATGCAATATTGTCCTTTATTGTAATTGATTTTCGAAAATAAACCAGCAAATGCATGCAATGCATAATTTTTTTATACCACAATGCATTCTGGGAACTGAAGTGCTTTCCAGTTAATGTGTAATTATAAGAGATTACTGAGACACGTCTGGTTCACCTGAGGTGATGTAGTGTTAATGTTAATCGTGAGAGTGTTAAAGCAGCATGAAGGTGTTGGAAACATTTGTTGTTTTGGTTCACGGCTGCCATTTGTTGTAGGTGTCAGAATCAACAAACCTTGTTTCCACGATGCTTTGCATTGACAAAAAGAGTTAAACATACAAAATAAAATTTCACCCTGGCAAAGTTTTGATGTTTATAAAACTTAAATTAAATTCTTTCATGTTCTATTAGTGTCAAACAAAGTCGAGCTTACATCTGGATGCCGTAGTGCTTTGAAGTGTGTGTGTGTGTGTGTGTATGAGAGAGTGTGTGTGTGTGTGTGCTTGTGTCCA